TGCAGTTGCCTTGAAGAGTTTGGGGAGCTAAGAGGCAGAAAGTGGAACAGCTCAGACATACTGCAAGCAAGTTCAAGAGATGTGCTGAACCTACAGGTCAGAAGAATGACCAAAGACCTCTTGTGCTGTTGCCAGTGACACTGCACAGCTGCTGCTATGGCTGACAGCAAGGCTGGGCACCGAGCTGCTCTGCACATCTGCTGTCTATGTGGGGTGCCAAAAGAATAAACACATGCCTTGCTAGGACTGTTTTTTTGCTAGAAGTGGCTCCTTTGCTTCCCTTGCACTCATCCAATGAGATGCCTGCAAGAACACCTTTCCTTACAGAAGCTTCCTTATTAGAGCCAGGCAGGCAGCAGGAACAAGCTCCTTCCCTTCCATCAAGAGGCGCTGCAGCGTGCTCTGGCTACCAGCTTACTCCTCTGGACACCTGATGCCACAGCCCTGTGACTGCTGAGGGCAGTGATCCAGGCTCAGAAGCTTCTCGGCCAAGCCAGTGAACATTTCCGTCTATGTCAGCACAGAACATCTCCCCTCACCTCTATTTCCACCACAGAAAAAAACTTTACCATTTCCAAGAAGCACCAGAAGGTTCCCCATTAATTATATCCATATTTCCATGTAAGTGCATAAAGGTGTCTCTCCTTCCTGGGCTGGGGCTATTGACCTCAACAACTTTTTCGCCAGAGAGGGCCTCTGCAGGAGGTACAAGTACAAAGAGGGACCTCACCACTGAGATGCCACAAATGCTACAAAACTTTCTTTTGTGTCCCTGTGGAGATGCATAGTTCTTTTCACACAACCACAGAAGACAGCATCACATATACTTCCCCTAGGATAAGCATCCTGATTCATGCTTTGGCCTGCATAAACTGGCATTGCTCTGAGGATTCCACAGACTCTAAACTGGTTTATTTCCCTCTGTCAGTCTGGGATTTGGTGTTAAGATTACACAAACACATAGAAAATAAATCTCCATTACCAGTTCTTAAGCCTTTGCATGCACATAATCAAATTGCAGAAGCACAACATTTAAGATGCTGATATTGCTAATTATCTCCGTTTCAAAAGGTTTCATTCACTGGGGGGGTTTTTTTGGGTTTTTTGGTTGGTTTTTTTTTTTTTTTTTGCTCCTGCTACTCAATGGAACAATGGAAAACCTCTACAGCCAGCACATTTCCTGGTAATCACATGGTGATAGCTGACAAACAAACCCAAATGTCAAATAACTGTTATTTCATCTCACGTCAAGCCTGAGACAGAGTCCTGGTTAAGATAGCAATTTCAAATAATTAAATTTAAAAATGCTGTAAACAACCCAGGAAGTGCTCTCCAAAGAGCATCCCAAACAACGCTACTCAATCTAGCAACACACAGCTTCCTTTCTGTATTCTTAGTACTAAAGCATCTCCTCAGCTTGCTTTTTCATTTTCTGTTGAGCTTCTCATGCTTTAGGAGAACAGCTAACTTCAACAGATGGGGTTTGATAGCCAGCTTTGCATTTGACAGCAGAATCCATCCCTTTCCCCCAAAACAGAAACAATTCAGCAGTTCCAACCCACCCTCAGACAGGACTGTCTAGGACAACATTTACATGCCACACAGACAATTGAGATGCTGTTGGTTAACTATGAGTCAGAGGGACCTTAGTACCAGCTCAAAGACAGCTTTTCAGTGATTACAGCTTCACATCCCATCATTTATTCGGGCTGCTATGCCCCCAAAGCAGGCACAACAAACCCCATACAGCTCACCAAAATGAGATTATTCCAGACCTTACCAAAAATACATTTCCTACTCAGTATTAGGGATGAAACAATCCTACAGTAGCTGCACTTTAGCATTCCTCCTCACTGAAAAAGGATGGTCTCACCATGTCACATAAGCCAGTTTTTCTCATCCAGGCTGGTGACCTTCAGGGTTATATATCCTCAAAGCTCCACACCTAGAATTTGTGAAAAGCTGCAGGTTTGGAGGTACACACAAAGAGGAGAATGCAATGCCAGCATGAGAGCTTTCCAATTGTTTGGCACATAAAGGTGCATTTCCTGGTGTGCTGGACTCCAAGAGCCCCAAGAGATGCTACAGGCATTACAGAGGCTATTTTCCAGAATACCCTTGGGGCAAGAAGCTGCTCATGCCACAACACTGCACTATGCACAATCAAGTAACTTGTAAACACAGAAGGATGCCCAATGCACCTTATAGCCATACAGATTATTCTAGTGGAAAAACTGCACTGCTTTTTCATGCCAGCAAACAGAAGAACCTCAAAGCTGGGGAGAGAGCACTTCATATACAGGGCAGCATCACCGCTGTACCCTTGAACAACAAATCCAAGATCCCTACAACTTAATGGTAAAGTGCTTAACCAAAGCTAGGCAAGGTCATATCAGACTGTAAATACCTCCTGATCTCTTATATAAATATAAGGTGCCCTGTCTAGGTAATATGCACACCCAATGTTGTTTTCTTTGGTATTCTCAAGCACACCTTTGAAACCCACAGTGTGCTCTAAAGGCTGCAGATCACTTAGTCAGGGCTTTCACTTCACTATCAGCCCGTAGCAAAGCCTTCCTGTCCTACACAAATGATGACAGTGAGGTCTTAACTAACAGAGAAGGCAGAATGAGTTCACAGCAAGCTGAACAGATGCAAAGGCCAAAGGGAAAAAGTTGGAAAAAAAAAAACACTAAGTGGGGTCTTATTCTCTGAAGTCAAGGAAGATTTCTGCTGTCTCTGATCAGGGTCTCAAAAGATTGGACTCACAGAAAAACTCCCAAGGAAGAGGCATTCCTCCCCTGCACTACTTGTCTCTGCACAGTGCAGTCTTGAGTTCACAGGCATGAGGACACTAACTTTATCTACACACAGGTCAAATAAGCAAAGCTTCTGCAAAATTCCCCCATTTGTCACTCATCAAGAGACACTATTTAGCACTCTAGTTTCATGGACAGGGCAACTGACAGTGCAGAGCAGCAGTTGCCATAGGATTCAAAACCTATGGGCTACCACCTGCTTTCAAGCAGCACAGCAAACACAGATACTCAGGACCCTATAAGAGCCTATATGAGAATGAACTGCTCTCCCAGTTCAGGCTTAGCTGTACCTTCTGCCCAGTCCTCCTTTGCCCCTATGATTTCATTCTAACCTCTGGACCTCTGCCTGGAAGCTGCACTGTCAGAAGGGTTTATAACATGGACAAGGTACGGCGATACCACGGCACAGCCACGCACCCCATGTGCTTTTACTTTCAGAAGTCAGCTCTGCTGCCTTAGAGCTGCTCTCTACCCAAGATACATGTCAGTCACGCAGGTGAGTCAGAAGAAAACAGTTCCAGAGAAGTCAAACAGAAAACAGAACTGGAACACTCAAGACCCAAGCCTGGGTTAGTTTTGAAGAGCATGGTCTGCCCTCCTTCAGGAAGTAGGTGAATGCTTCCCAGAAGGTGGCCCCTAATCCAGTCCTCTTACACTCCCACTGTACCTCACACAGAGTGGGGAAACCTATTCTGATTCACAGAAAGCTACCAGGCTGGATGCCTCTCTCAGGGCAGTGCCTGGCACACCATGGATCCTCTGGTCATATAAATAGCCAGAACAAAGTAAACATGATAACAGGATTGCTCAGCACTTAGGATGGCATCTGAGCAAGGCAAAGGATTTGAGCACTACCATCAGCCTGTCTCACACTTGTCCCACGCTTTCAAGTGGCAGAGGGATCACCCAGTTAGGGACCTAATTGGGGAGTCGCCTCTTCAACAGAAGCAACAGCAATTAAAAAACTAAATCCCTGGCAGCTACCTGCAAATGGACCCCTATACAACAAGGGATTAGGGATTATTATCCCTTGTCCACAGTAAAAACTGGCACCAAGGCATCACTACAGGCTTCAAGATCTCAGACTGGGGTCTGAACAGCTATTAACAGCTCCAGAAGTTACAGTTGCACTTCACTGGGCATTTCTGTAAGCAAAATGCTCAGGAAGGGAGACTTCAAACCTAACTGCACAGAAAATGCTAACTTTTGCTGCATGAGGCTACATCTCAAAATGGAGTACTGCGGAAAAACACCTGTCAAGGTGAGAGAACTTCAAACAATAAACAGCTCTGGCTGCCCTTAGCTCTAGGAGGGGTTCATAATTCTCCGAGATGAAATAGATGTAACTGATTGTCTCACACCACAATCCCTTTTCAAGCTTTAAGAAACTTTTCTGCATTTGTTATTCTCAACATAAAAGCTTCCAAGTACAGACTCTTAAGACGTGCTTGCTAGCTCCCTCCCATATGTAAAATGACAAAAAAGCCAGGAAGCACCACAGACCATTTTCTTCAGCTGTTCCCCAGGCATAGAGATACACAACATACATTGTGTGCTTGCTTCAGAGACAGCATTTTAGGGTTATTCTATAACTTGAAAACAGAGATAAAACCTAGATAACTGGAGATCTAGCTCTTGCAAAGGGCAAGAGAATTGCTCAGTACCCAAGATCCCAAGGAATAACACTCTTGCAGAAATAAACATGCAGGCTGAAGGCTGCGCTACTCAGAGATGCTGCCCGGCTCCCATGTGCACGCGCAAACTCCACGTCTCCATCTCCAGCCGCTTCACCTCCCGTTCGCAGCCACAGAGGCCAGTGCCCACACGGCGGGAGGCCCCTCTCCTCACCCAGAGCCCCAGCAGAGCTATTCCCAAGCCAGGCAAACCCACAAACGGAGCGCAGCAATGCGCGCTACCCGTGTCTGCGTGGGCGGGTGTCAGCACAGGGCCCCGCGCTGCCTCCCACCACCGGCGCCTCCTGACCTCAGCCACCCGCCAGGTCCGGGGCGGGGAAAGGCCTCAAAAACAAAGCGCCGCTCGCACTTCGGGAGCGGGAGGGCGCAGCGCTTTTTACACGCACACACACACATACACCCACACCGCCTGGCTGCTGCTCTCATTAACAAACCAGCAGTAGCGCAGGGAAGAGGCGAAGGAGCGCCGGGCTCGGCCCGCGCTTACCGAGGCAGGCGCCGCTGACGAGGGCGGTGGCGGTGAGCGCCCCGGCCGAGGCGCCGTACACCTTCTTGGCGTTGGCGACCAGGAACGGGGCATGTTCCTGCAGGCAGCTGGCTACGCCGACGTGGTACACCCCCAGGAAGCCGCAGCCGGCGAAGGAGATATTCCAGGTGGAGTCCAGCGGGAACATGGCCTCCGCGCCCCGCTGGGGCGGAGGCTGCTGCAGGGAAGCAGCAGCAGCCGCGGAGCAGCAGCGAAGCCGCGGGTCTCTTCCCGCAGCGCAGGACGGGCGGGACGGGCAGAACAGCCGGGAAGCGCTGTGCTGCCGAGAAGGCGGATACAGAACACGGCAAGTTTGCCGCTGGGAGAGCGCCGCCGGCTCCCAGCTTTATAGCGGCGGCCCCGCCCCTCGGCAGCCCCGGCGGGGCGGGACCGCCCGGCCCCCGCCAACCCTTCCTCCGGTGAACCCCGCTCCGGCCCGGGGGCACCGCGGGGACACTGCCGCCAGCCGGGGCAGCCGTGCCAGCTTCTCGCAGCGAGAGGGCTGCCTCTCCCTGTCCCGGGACAGCAGGCTGTCCTTCCCTCACGGAACATCCTGATTCTTAGCATCTACTCCGAGTCCTTGGGGTTTCCTTTGTTTTTCAGGGATCGGGCAAGAAGGGTGAGAGAACAGGAAAAGCTTTCTCCCCTTTCACAAAAAGCTGAGGCACGTCTTGTCACAGCAACAGGGCAAGAACTGGGAAAAAGGTAATCTTCCTGTCCCCCTTCAAAACTAAACAAATCAAGTCCGGCTCCTGGACCTGCACGGGACGTCCCCAAGAGTCACACCATGTGCCCAAAAGTATTGTCCAAACGGTTCCTAAACTCTCGTTAAGGCTTGTGCTGTGACCACTTCCCTGGGGAACCTGTTCCAGTCCTCATCCACACTCCGAGGTAAGAACCTTTTTCTGATATCCAACCTAAACCTGCCCTGAGGTTTAGGGGAGGCCATTCCCTCCACTCCCAATCACCAGTGAGAAAAGATCAGTGTCTACCTCTTCCCTTCACAAGAAAGTTAAGTATACTGTTTTATACTAATCACCAAAACACACACAGTTGCTTACCTTTGCTTACCTTTTCTCAACATTTTTTTTCTCCACGTGCCTCTAAGTTCACCAAAATGCTTACATTCAGTCAGGGCAACTGTGATTTTCAGCAGTACTTCTGCACAAGATCACCACGGAGCAGCGCTGGGTGAGAGCCCAGTGCTAGCTGATCATCAAAATAGATTTCAGAAGCTAAAGATCCCCTTGCCATAAACAATACAGACTACAGTCATCCAAATTATTAGATAAGCATGAAAGTTTACAGAGACATCAAAAAGATCAGCATAGCAAGAGAATGAGCTGCTCTACTCAAAGCTAGGAAGCAAGATCAGCAGGAGGGAGGTTTGAGGGACACAAAACAAAAAGCATACATTTTTAATGGAACCAACACAGGGCAAAAAGCACTTTCTGCCAAAGTTTAAAAAACTACTTCAGTAATCTTGGCATAAAATAATTTGAATTAGCTTTCTTATTACTGGTCAGAAGTTTCTCACTTTGGAAAGTGTTAAATGTATACTTAACAACTCTCACTATTTATGCTAGTGGAGGTCATCCAAGTAGCCCCTCTTCCTGTTCCTTCCACTCCAAACATCCTTTCAAATGATACGAGGGCGGCTAATACCCTTCCTAAAGAGTGGCCATCAGGTTGCAAGAACAGCCGTTTAATGCCTCAGTCTACTGCCTCACAGCCATGTGACAGAAGCTAAATTCAGCAGGTAACCCTTGCATAAGTCCAATATTTAAGTTCAAGTTAGACATCATACTCGACAGACAGAGCACTTTTTCATTAAGTGTTTGCCCTTTGCTTTCATCAGACAGGCAAGAGTACAGCTCTATCTTTCTTTCAGGTCCTGCCCCCAAGCCCACCATATCACCTAGCTGCCAGGAACTCCCCTTTATACATATTAACATCCTGGAGTACATAAAGAATTAACCCCACTTACTTTAATCCTCTCTCTATACCCTTCTCTCCCTTCCTCTCATACCTCTAGTTGCTTTTGTAATTTCCTTCCTGCCTTGCATTTGATGTGGTTACGTAACCCTTGTCAGTCCTCATCTCCACCTGGAGAGGTGAGCCCTGGCACACCAGAGCCATGACTCTCTTACAGGCTCTTAACACCAAGGCCATCATGGAGCTTCCACCCCATGCTTCAGGTTGACACAGAAAGGTATTTTCATGTAGTCAACCCCAAGGAAACATTGTGCCTCCCCTTTTCTAGAACAGGGATTGTTCTGCAGAAGAACTGGTCACTGGACTGTGACTTGAGCAGAAGTCTGTGGCAAAACTGATCACTGAACCTTGTCTGCTGATACCTCCCAAACACTTGTAACCACAAGAACATCTTCATTCTGGAGCCAGCACTGTTCCCTCTTTTTCCATCATTTCACAAGCCTTAATGTTACTAGTGTGTCTGGAAAATAGAAACTTGCTGCGACAATGCTGGACTTAGTTTTACTTGATTTCCCAACAGCAATCTCATCCCGAGTTGTTTACATCACTCTGCCTTGGCCCTCAAGGTTACTTATTTGAGGAGGTTAATGCTGCCCCGTTGAAACAGGTCGATTAAATTAACAATGTGAACACTAATCTCTTGTGGAGTACTGCCTGGGCACTGGCTCTAGCAAGCTGACAAACAAGTGTGCTTTTCTCACAAATAAATTAACCCTCAAAACTAATCTCTTTCCCCCCATTTAGAAAGTGCTACAGTTCTACTATTGCTCATGATGCAGCAGTAAGCCAGATCAGCAAGATTTACTAAGGCAGCTTTTCCTGTGTGTTAAACTCCAGCTGAAACTCTTCAAATCCACTCGTGCCCCTACAAGTTGAGATGCCACGGAGACAGCTTCACATGCAATCTCTTGTTGTGTTTATTTTCTAGTCTAATGAACGGTGAGCTGTTAGTACCTACAAGATAATAACATACAGGCTAACAATTTCTGCTTTTTCAGGCAAGACATTGTGTTTTGGCAGCCATTGAGAATTAAAGGGAAAACGAAAGGCAGCCTGTTACAATATTGATTTCAGAATGCTACTTTAGTATTGTTGTCCCTAGTCAGCAAGAAAAGCACACCAGCCATGAAGCTCAACCCTTGCAACATCATTGGAAAGCCAGAGTTAAATGTCTTTTTCTTACCTGTGATGTTTGAGTAGGTCAGGTCATCCTATGGCACTCTTGGCACTTGCTTCATAGGAGCATGTCCTGAGGCAGAGGAGCAGTCCTGCTCTTTTGGGACTGAATTTTTCTTCTAGGAAAGGTACTACAGACATCTCTGCACCTACGTAAGTCGAACCTACTGAGTTCAGCAGGCCTGCCTGCATATAGCAGCTTGCAAAACTGGGCCTTGGTAGTAAGAGTGAAACCAGTTGAGAGTGGCCCCAGGGGGCCATTGCTTATTGCTTTACAGTAGTGTCCAGGACATTCTCCCTGCTTTCCAAGTAGTGGAGATGCCTCATCCCTCTCCCTGGTCCATGTTGCTTATAAGGAATGATTTTCAGTGAGGACTGATTTGAGACAGCACAGCATTTGTGTACCAGTGAGGAAAGCCTGCACATTTCAATGTCAAGCCTATGACTAAATCACTCTCCCCTGCTGTCAATTTGGTAATGATCAGCTACTAGTGTAAATCTCCAGGCACAAGACCATCTCTCCCATTCTCTTCAATGCCCTTGAGTCCATCTTTCATGAAAAATTCAGGAAAAATTTCTAGCTAAAATTGATTCTGTAAGGGGGACGGACTAGGTCACAAGTCTGTCTTAGCAGGCACTAGCGTCCTCTGAGAGAATCATGGAATACAATGCAACCACCCCACCAGTATCCTCGTCTTTGATAAATCTGAAAGGGCATCACTGAGACTTGAAAATTCTGAACAGTGACTCCAGAGCAGAAGCAGGGATCCCATCTCCTTCACAGCTAAAGCTCACTGAAATCAGAGGAACAGAGTGAACTCCACGCAGAGCACCAAACAAGTATGCAATAAATGCCCAGGCACATCACTGCTCATGTACAAAGCCATAAGGTGGCAACAGTTTCATAAATAGGTAAAGGGAGGAGTAAACTTAGTTTGATTTTGTATTCAGAATCAATGTTCACTAGGCAGAGGTTTTAGCACATTCTGCAAAATGTATGTGAAATCTTGGAGCAGAGCCGAGCCATGCCCTGACCTTCTCAAGAAATACCTATGAAGTGGTAATGTTACATTGACTCCACTACAGCGGCACTGTAGTGAGAGCTCTATTTTCAGTGCTTTCCCCGAGAGCTGCCCCCAGAAGTTTTTTCTCAGAACAGTTTATCAATGAGCTGTCCTTTTTCTCAGAGCAAGTTAACTGAGTTTTTATGAAAATCATGCACTTTCACAAAGGACTTTAAAGGTTTTAAGAGGACAGCCACTGCAGGACCAGGCCCATAATTCAAGGTTAAAAGGTCATATAAAGAAGATGAGAAAAACAAGATGAAAAAATAAATTAGTCTAGATGCAGTTATACTCCTGCCCTCATGACAGTAGCCAGCAACTGGCACTACAGGTCTGTTTCATCCCATGAGCCTGGGTACAGCAAACTCATTGAATAGCTCAGTGCCGTTCAAATAAATTCCTTTGTGCATGGAAAAACCCTACTAAGTGGTGTGCCAGGGCAATCCCTTCCTGTGTAAACACTGATGGTGCTCTTGAAGCAGCAAAGCAAGGCACTACTGGGGAGGAGGGAGGCACCTCTCAGTAAAACAACATCCAAACCCCACTCTTTTTCAGTGACCTGAAATGGAGAAATCACCAAGAAAAAAGCAAGAGCCCCCATGCTCCCATGGCTGAACCATTGTCTTTAACAGGTCTGACAGCGAACTATGGTGAACAACAAATGGTTTCCCTTACTACCAGATTACCAGGCTGGCACTTAAGAGACGAAGTAGACAAAAGGTATTGGCACTGTTACTTCCTGTACATTTTCTGGCTCCAGGGAGAGGGCCAGTAAGGGTTAGTTGCTTAAATCATGGTCATTTTGAGGCTCTAACTTCCAACTGCTCTTTTGGTTTTGCTTTGCTGTGAAGTATTGGGTGTTTTCTCAGTACACTAGATAAAATAATTTTTCCTACTTGGATTTCACCATCTCTACTCCCAGAAGTACTTGCCATGCTTTGTCCAATGACTCATATGAACACAGCTGTATCAGCGATTGCTTTTCCCCGAAAACAACTACACTAGAACAGCTACTCAGTACACTCTCTGCAGGGATATCTTTTTGACTCTACCTGTGCAGACTTTATCATGGCAAGATCATCACACATGCAATTTGTACTCTACCTACCTACACTGACATATGAGGATTTCCACAAGAAACCACATTGCCTTCCAAAACACTCTTAGACACTTGATAAAGCAAAATTTACCTTCCTCTCAAGTTGGTATGTTCTTCTTGGCATGCCAAATATACTTCAGTTCTCCAGAAATACCTTTCTCATGATTCTATGTTCAGATCAAGGTACAATTTATGTCCTTACAGCCCAGAACAGCCATTCCACATGAAGGGCACCTCTGCATTGATCTGTGTCCTATGACAGCAGGATGCAGTTAGGGTTTTTTTTTTGGGGGGGGGGTTTATGGTTAAACGGTTAAGCATATGGATGTGACAGAAAATCCTAGTCAACCATTTTATCAGTTTTGTCCCTAGATCTTGGAAATATGACAGTAATGAAATTGGTGCTTTTAAATATTTAAAAACCAAATTACTATAATTAGTTCTAAAATTATGTTTCTGGCCTAATTCAGGCCTGCTGTTCATTCAGTTTCACATTTTGGAATTGAATAAACAGATTATGGAAACCAAAGTCCTTTTATTGCTGAATAGAAGAGCTTCTTCACTGAGTAACCAAGAGCAAAATAGAATGGAGAAGGCTAACATCAGGAAGATTCAGTTTCCACACACTGTTTATGAAACAGCAGTGTCAAAACAAGCATCCAGGTTCACACAAGTTTTGCCACTTTCTCAGTACTCTCAGAGCTGAGTCCTACAGCCTGTCAGAAAATTCACTAACCTATTGTAGACAGAGATAAAAATCAAAGCTGTCTCAGAGCCATTTCAAGAATAGCTGAATCCAAGAGCACTTGCATGGTAATAATAATAAACACAAAAACATTTAAAACAAAGAATTTAATAACTTCTCTATAACAAATAATTAATCAAAGAGGCCAAATCCCATGTCATCATCAGATTCTTCTGATTCCTCCTTCTTCTCTTCTTTCTTCTCCTCAGCTGAACAAAAAAAAGACCAAGTGAATAGTTAGTATTAACATTGCACCACAGATTTTGGAAGACACAACTTTTGGTGTTCTCAGCTCCCCTGCCTACTGGTATTGGAGCCTCCAGGGTTCATCTCATTCCCTTTCAGCAACCAAGTAACACTGAACAGATACAGACACTACTGTTGCAGGAATGTGGTTTACACCACCAAGTCTCTTTGATTCTCTGTTTTAAGCAAGACCAATCCTAAGACAGACAAAAATCAAATGCTTCTGACTGTCTAAAGGAAAAGTAACTGTTCAGCTGACATTTCCATCACCTACAGAACTGCTGAAGTGGAGAAGCCCTGAAATGTTGACTCAGTTGTTAAGCTGTTACCAGAGACAAAAGGAGTTGCCCTGGAGCCACGCCTTTCCACCCACACTTACCGGCAGCAGGGGCAGCAGCTGCGGCAGGAGCAGCAGAGCCCCCTCCAGCAGAGACTGCCACGGCTCCCCCAGCCGGCATGCTGGCAAGTTTTCCATTGCCTGAATGGGACACAAGAGAAGGTATTTATTTACATGCTCACCCCAGGCACAGAACTTTTTTTCCCCCTTTAAGGGTAAAGAGTACTCTGAGGGCATAACTGGATCACTCTTAGAGGAGAGAATGGGAAAGATTGATTTATTTATGGCAAAGAGTACAGTATTTTAAACAAATTCCTCAGCACCCTATGAACCCTATTGCATTTCCTTTGAGATTTCTGATTTCTGCTTGTATTTGGAAAGCCAGCTAGTTCTCTGGCCTCTTGCCTTTCACATACCAAGGCTCCCTTGGCATTCAAAGGTCACGTACACACTATGTTTGTCTGTATTCCAGTTTCTGGGAATCAGTTTCTAAATAATTCCCTGTTACTTCAAGATCTAATTAAACTAGCAAAGTAAACAAACATGTTTCATATGCATGTATGTTCTAAGAGACAATTTATTTAAAGTATTACAGAAAGAGACAGCATAAGTGTGTTGTAACCACAACTGTAATAGCTCTCTTAGGTCTTTCAAACCAAATGGATGGAAATGTCCAGTGCCTACTCCTGACAGCAAGGCCAGGCAAAGTCCTGGCTACCTTTAAACAAAAATATGCTTGCATATTCCCTTGTGCCTATAGACTTATACAAAAAATAAAAATTAATTAATCAGAAACCTTTGCACTACCCCAGCTCTGCTTTACTTCAGCCCTATGACCCAGTCAATTAATGTAAAAAGTTCCAGCCTCAGTAAGAACACAGATTTCCATGGAAATCAGCCCTCAGAGTTCTGTCTCAGGGAAAAGGGAATGCTGAACCCTGAGAGCTCTATAAGAGATGTGCACTGGAGAGGCTTCTGCTCACTGCAGAGGGTGGAGCTGCACCCCAATGCCAGCTGCCTTTCCTCATGCTTTACATCACTGGTGCACACAAGTGGGTAAAACACAAAACATCTCCTAGAGACCCTGAAGGACAGCTCAGTCTCTTATCAACATGTCCAGAAAACTCCATCATGAGCAAACTACCAGTAAGCTCATACATGCTTCAGTTCTCTAGTTTAATGTGGTCCACAAGCGAAACCCAGCAGGTACTGGCACTGACCTGCAGGGAATTAGAATGGACCTGATTCCACTCAATTCAGCTGTGATCCATGATGCTGAACAGAGTCTGTAACTTGGCAGCAATTCCATACTCTCAGATCTAGGCTATCAAAGTATCAGGAAATTACCTGGGTCACTTGAAGACTCTACTTACCCTGGGCAATTACATCTTCAATATTTTTTCCATTCAGCTCACTAATAACCTGTAAGTTAAATTTAGAATGTTAGTTTCCAAACAGCATAAGAACAAGCTATATTTAAACAAATACTGATAAATCATCATATGCAGTACCTCCATCCTGCTGCTTATCTAGCCCCAAAATTCCTTACTTCTCAGTGCCAGGAACAGAGCACTGACATGAAAATTTCAGCTAAGTCCTTAATACTTTAAGCATTTTCATGAAATCTGCTACTGAATTCATAATTAATCCAATGACCTTGAAAAAGGATACAGAGATGTGCAACCAATTAGGAAGCCCCACCAACAGTGTAAGTCACTGAGGGACTGTTTACATTTCTTGCTTAATAGCCCCTGGGAGGCTCTGAAGCACTGGGTTCTGGACCCAAAACCACAAGGTCCCATTCCTAGCTCTACCAAATGTTAAAAGCCAATCTATTGTATCCTTGCCCTGGAACACAGAGTTCCAACTTTAATTTTAGGACCATTGTTGTATAACCAAGGATGACAAAAGCAAAACAAAAACCCCAAAACTGCTAAAGCAAGCACTTAAAAACACTGCTCCAGAACCTACTGGTGAATTTCACATATCAGAAGTCAGTGGCCAAAGCTAAAGGACTTTAGCCAAGAGCTTTTTAACAGGTACCTTCTGCTTATACAGAGCATGGAATGTGTGAAATTATGTGCCTGCATGACTGCTCCATCCAGGAGAAAGGTGCTTCTAAGACTTACATTTACACAGGCTTAAGATACAGACAATCCAAAAATTAATTATGACCAAAACAAATTCCAGAACAGCTTTCCCAATATTGGAGGATCAGAGAAAGCAATTAATTTATTAAGGTATTAAACCTAAAGGAACCAAAACCAAAAGACCTGGCATTTAAACAGGAGCATCATGAGTTCAGACCAACATTCCAAATCATTGTAAGGATGCTGTCAGCTCAACCAAGCCAATGTCTCATTGGGTTTATGGTAAA